ACCCATCCAGGTGGGTAAGAGGGGAGGAGTCACAGAGATGGGTGAAGAGGCGCAGAGAAGCATGTGGTGCAGAGAGGCAACAGTAGAACAAAAAGTCCTACATTCATGTGTGGCAGATAAAAATCAGGAGGGACACCTTGGGAGCGAGTGACCCCAGCTCCAGACCAGACCACACAGCCCAGGGTTCCAGCACTGGGAAGATAAAGCCCCATAACTTCTGGTTGTAAAAACCAGTGGGGGTTGGGGCATCAGAAGAAACTGCCAGATTTTCAGGAAACTCCATTTAAAGGGCCCACACCAACTTAGAATCTGCTCAAACCCATCTCTCTAGGATTCACCACCAGGGCAATAGCTGGAAAGGCACCAGGCACATAGGGAAGTGGGTAAAGTGACTGGAAATGGGGAGAGTGCCAGGCAAACCTCCAGAAGCCAGGCAGTGGCATTGTCCCCTCCCCGAGCCCTCCCCGCACACAGAACCACAAAGTCTTGAAGCGGGTTGTCCCACCCCTGGCAATTACCTAAGGCTCCACATCATACAATTTACAGGTGCCTTTTCTACAATAGACCACACTACTAAGACAGAGAGTCAAAGCAGCTCTACCTAATACACAGAAACAAACACAGGGAGGCTGCCAAAATGAGGAGACAGAGAAACATGGCCCAAATGGAAAAAAAAAAAAAAAACAGAACAAAATCCCCCCCAAAAAATGAAATGAAATGGAGATAACCAATCTATCGGATGCAGAGTTCAAAAAACGGCAGCAACATAAAGGAAGAAATGAAGGTTACACTAAGTGAAATGAACAAAAATGTACAGGGAACCATCAGTGGAGGGGAGAGAGCCAGGCTTCAAATCAATGAGTTGGAACATAAGGAAGAAACAAACATTCGACCAGAACAACAAGAAGAAAAAAATGTTTTTAAAAAATGAGGATAGTGTAGGGGCCCTCTGGGACATCTGCAAATGTATCAACATCTGAATCATAGGGATGCCAGAAGGGGAAGAGGAAGAGCAAGGAATTAAAAACTTGTTTGGAAAAACAATGAAAGAAAACTCCCCTAATTTGGAGAAGGAAATAGACATACAAGTCCAGGAAGCACACCATCTCAAACAAGAGGGCTACACCAAGACACATCATAATTAAAATGCTAAAGGTTAAATATAAAGAGAGAATCTTAAAAGCAACAAGAGAAAAACAAAGAGTTACCTACAATGGAGTTCCCATAAGACTGTCAGCTGATTTCTCACAAGAAACTTTGCAGGCAAGAAGGGACTGGCAAGAAGTAGTCAAAATGATGAAAAGTGAGGACCTACTGCCAAGATTACTCTCTCCAGCAAAGCTATCATTTAGAAGGGAAAGGTAGATAAAGTGCTTCCCAGATAGGGTAAAGTTAAAGGAGTTCATCATCACCACGCCTTTATTATGTGATATATTAAAGGGACTTATTTAAGAAAAAGAAGAAAATCAAAACCATGAACATTAAAATGACAACACAGTCACAAGAATCAACAACTGAATCTAAACAAATGAACTAAGCAAACAACCAGAACAGGAATAGAATCATAGATATGGAGATCATCTGGACGGTTATCAGCTGGAAGAGGGAAGGAGAAAAGTGGGGGGAAAGGTGCAGGGATTAAAAAGTATAATTGGTTCCTGGCTGGTGTGGTTCAGTGGACTGAGTGCCAGCCTGCGAACCAAAGGGTCACAGGGTTAATCCCCAATCAGGGCATATGCACCCCCCACCAGTTGGGGGCACATGAGAGGCAACTACACATTATGTTTCTCTCTTTCTCCCTCACTTCCCCTCTCTCTCTAAATAAATAAATAAATATTTTTTTTAAAAGATGCATAATTGGTGGGTAGCATAAAATAGACAGGGAGATGTCAAGAATAGTATAGAAAATGGAGAAGCCAAAAAATTTATGTGCATGACCTAAGGAAGAGGATTGCTGGAGGGAAGGCAGGTACCAGGTGGAGGGGAGCAAGGTGAGAAAATTGGGACAACTGTAATAGCATGATCAATAAAATATATTTAAAAATACTTTTTTTAAAGAATTAGCAGCTTAGCCCTAGAACACAAAAGGTGCTGCCATTTAATTAACAGTGATCTGCACATATCATTTCACCGGTTTGGGACTCACTTTCCTCATCTGAATAATGGGCATGACAAACGTAATTACACATTTAAACAAATGTAGCATGGAACACATACCATGTACAAACCCCTACTGAATCTGCAGATAAAAATCTCACAAAATCCCCATGGGAATTTCCCTGGAGGAGTAACAACCTTTAATTAGCCATTAAACTTCTCATGGAGCCCACTGACATCTTCAATTCCTTGGAAACACACAACGATGTGCCTAGTTAAAGGCACAAGTGTAATGTAATGCCAAGTGTGTACATACACATACACATACACACAGGCACACAGACATAGATAATTCCATGTTCCATGACATTAAATTTGGGGGGAATATTACTCTCAACGTTATGATAAATTATGTGTAGTAGTAAATAGAGCAGCGAACGTAACTGTGGGGAAATACCCAGACTAATCCAGTTGACTGATATGTCATATTGCAGTAGGAAATGGCTGTCTCTACGATTCAAACTAACACTGTTCTCCGATCAGCTGTCCAGTGGGTTTGTGTTTGCAGTTGTTGGAAAATGGACTGTGCATGGTGAGCTAGAAAGAGCACCGCATTTCATAACCAGCCCCATGATCTCAGTCAAGATAATCAAGTTACTTTTCTCTAGTCTCAGTTTCCTCATCTGTAAAATGGCTAGTACATTCCACATACTTCATCAGGACTATCTGATCCATTCTCCCATGTTGCACATGAGAGGACTGAGTGGTGAAGTGACTCTCGAGGTCACATAGCTAATCAGTGACAGAATCACAACTAGAAATAAAAGTCTTTTGAAGAGTTGGACTTTCTGCAGTAACAAAGCTGCCATTGAAGCAACAGATAGAAAAGTGCTTTGAAAAGTGTAATATAAAGGTTCCGTTCAGTGGAAGTGCCGTGGAGCATGTCTACTGAAGCCCGAGTGTAGATCCTCGTGTGGCAGCTGAGAAACATCTTTGGAAACAGTACCTGTGCGTTCAGCAGGGACCACCTTTCTCTTAAGACCAAGCAGAATCTGTCTCATTTCTCAAAGAAGACACCAGCAAGACGTAAACAATTGACTACGTTAATTCAGACACCGAAGTGGATTTTCAAGGACTTGACTTGCCCGAGCGAGTTTTCTACAAAGGCCAAATTAATCAGATAATTGCTAATTCTCCCATTTGTTTGGTGCTGAGTAGAGTCTGCATTTGTTGATATGACCCTAGTAACAGAACAAATAGTCATCTGACAAAATTTTAAAATCCCAAATCTGAACTAAAGGGTCGAGTTTCTTCTAAGCAAACTGTTTCTTCAGTCATCACTGTAAAAGCTTAATTTTCTTTACCTGACTGGGAACATCAATATTTCTTTTGTGATTTAAAGAAAACTTTTAAGTAAACAAATGAAAAAAATCAAGCTAAACTGGTGGTCCAGGGTACTATGAACATGCTCCGTTCGATGATCAGTAAAACAAAAACATGTCTCTCTTGGAATGACTGCTACTGTGCAGTCTTTTACATTCAATTCTTACTGACACATCCAAGAAAATGTAGCACGCTCTGGTTTAAAATAATCTCCACTTCACAGCCATCAAAGTTTTAAAATTAAGCAAACAGTGCTAATTACCCTCCTTCTACTATCAGGAGGAAAGCTTAGAAAGTGATTTAATTAATTGGCTCTGAAAAATTAATTACATTTGAAATGAGCCTCATTAAGATCTTCCTTGTTTCATCAGAATTTCAGACTAAAGGATGACTGGTCTCTTCACTTATAACTTCTTTGTGGTTCATAGAGCATAAAATAGACTGCTGGTTGTGATGATAATTAAATTCTTCACCCAAATAAATGCAGGACTAGAACAGTGGAATGAACTGACCTCAGCCAGGAGCTCTCGCTTTTCCACCATATTAAGTTCTTGCATTGCAACCCAAGGATTTTACTCTGTGTGTATGAGTGTGTGTGTGTGTGTGTGTGTGTGTGTAGTGAATTGACAAACACAAAAACAAAACCAAAAATACAGTTCACGTTCAAATGTAGCACACCAACATATTTTGGATTTACCATGTTGAGTGTGAACCAAAGTGAAAACATGAATAAAAACTTTCTGTAAACGTAATAACTGTTGATGGCTCAGATAGTTTTCGTAAACAGTTGGCCAACTGTAACTTAGAGCAGCTGTCACTATGCATTCAAAGTCAATGTTAATTTAGGAATATCAACCTTGTAAATGTTTGTGGAAATAAGGCTCATGCTGTTTTCAGAGGTCACAGAACCGCATTAGAGGGTTGTTAAACCAAACTCAGCCCCCACTTTACCCTCACTGTCTTAAAAAGTCTCCGGTTTTACCCACAAAAAGCTGTAACCATACTTAAAGGGCTTCCCAAGGATTCCCGTAAGTACAGCCACTGCACAGAGAAAGGTCTTTGATAGACTTACATCTTGGAGGTGAGAGAATACATAAGCTACAGAAACAGCATGTCCAGAAATGAACTGCACCCTTTTATACGAGAAAACACTGGCACCAGTGAAGTCCCAGCACCTATTGCTAAATAAAGTGACCTGCGAACACCTAAAGCAATCGCTCTCCCAGGGCTCAGGCTCTGGAGCCTGGGCTGTGTGCTGAAGTCAGTAGACTCCTCTTTTTTTTTTTGTCCTGTTTGAACAACTTTTTTCCAAGCAAAATTTGCATAAAAGATTGCAAAGCGCCCTTTTGTACACACTCCTAACACGGCACCGAGTGTCTCATCGGCTGGGACACAGACCCAGCGCACAGTGCGGGCCGTCAAACGCAGGGACGCTCGTCCTCAAATGAGCCCAGCCATCTTTTTTTGGAACACACAGGAAAAGTGCAGCGAAAGCTACAACAGAACGTAAACGGCTGTACCTGCAACGTGCTGAACTCCTTCCAGCCCTCACCCTTCCGGCACCTCCGGCAGCCTCGCTTCTCCCTGGCGGTGCGACCGTGCCAAACGCTTCTGCCTTCCCGAAGCCGTGTGTCGGCACAAGCCCAGGCGAAACTCCAAATCCAGGAAAATAAAATTAACCACGCAGATCAAAGGCAGCGGAGCAGGGAGATGAAATGCCCGTAATCCGATCGCTGATCAGTTGCAGAACATCAAAGGCAGGGCTCGGTTTATATATAAGCAGGGAGAGCCAGAAAGTGCACTTCCAGCAGGTAGGCAGGCAGCCTCCCGCCTCCGAGTCCGCATTAGTGCACAGAGTCTTTTGTTTAACGTGGATCACGTTGTTTTCCTCCCCCCTCCTCCTTTTTTTTTTTTTTTTTTTGTGCAAGGAGGCAGTACCGGTGGTTCTCCCCAGCCCGGCCGAGAGGCTGGACCCGCGCAGCCCTGCGGTTCCCCAGCCGAGCCGAGGGCTGTGTGCTGGAAGCCGCCTGCAGCCCGCGGGCTCCGCTTCAGCCCTTTCATCTCGCTCCACTGCAGACCCCATGACGTCACCCAGCGCCCTGGGACTGGTAGGAGAGCTGTAATTCCGCCTGCGGGGGAGTGCGCCGCAGCAGCCGGCCCTTCCCGATTTCCAATCACGCTGGAGTCTGGGGCCCGCGGCAGGACGCTTTCTGTTATCTGCTTCCCAGTTGGAGAGGTCGGCCCTCGCCGCGGGAGGATGCCGGCGCGATAAGATCCCTGGTCCCCCCTGCCAGGTTCCCAAGGACGGCGCTTAATGGACTCTTTGCTGATAAAAATCACAGGCTTTTACAAAGTCTGTCACATATTCAGAAGAGTGAAGGATCGCTCTGAGAGCATTCCAGAAACCACCCAGGGACTCTGCCAGTTGGAAAGGATGACTTTTTTTTTTAAACATGTGTTTTTGTTTTAAATGGGACAAGTCTCCAAGGGTTTTAAGTAAACTGCCTTTTCTTTGAACTGTAGATGATTAGAACTGACTGCCAATGAAACAGAGGCGTTTTAATTAAAGTAATGAATGGACAGATAAGCAACAGTTAATCGGTGACTGAGAACTGCCACTTTCTCGCTTAAGCCCTTGGGTGTTAATTCGGTCTAAGATTCCTAGACTGACTCTGAGTCTAGGAATTAGTTCGGGGTTCTGAAAATTAGATTTTACAATATGTAGTTCTTACGTAGGTGTAATTCATTAACACCTGTTGAGCATTTTAAAGTTTATGGACGAAAAGAATTATGTACAGACGAGCACTAGCCCCGTGCCCTGTCTCTTAGGGCTGTTTCTTTTCACGCACTCCATAGCTCAAACTCCTCACTCGCTAAAAATCACGACAGCAGTCTCACTCTCCATGATTTAAAATTAAACCCATTCCTCACTGTTTATAATTTTCATACTGTCCTTCCCTAGAGTCAATCAAATAAGATTATTTCAACTTTAGTATTTACCAAAATGAAGATAAGAAGAAATTTCATGTTCATTACAATCCAGGGTACAGTACATTTCTGAATTCCAGGCCACTCGTTCATGGATGGATGGAAAATTTTCTGTCTTATACTGGAAACTTTCCAACTTTGAGAAGGTCAGGGAGCCCTGGCTGATGTGGCTCAGTTGGTTGGAGCGTCATCCCATAACTGCAAGGTTATGGGTTCGGTTCCTGGGAGGGCACATGTCTAAGCTGTGAGTGTGATCCTCAGGCCAGCTGGCTCTCATGTGACCTGTGGTCCAGATGTGTAAAAGACCTCCGTGCTTCTCTCTTGCATTGATGTTTCTCTCTCTCTCTCTAAGATGTCCTTGGGTCCTGCCTGGTGTGGCTCAGTGAGTTGGGCCTCATCCCACAAACTGAAGAGTTTTACCTGATCAGTGTTTCTATCTTTCTTTGTCCCCCTCCCTTCCCCTCTCTTTAGAATAAATAAATAAAATCTTCAAAAATATATCCTCAGGTGAGGATGAAAAAAAGTTAAAAATATTTTTTCTACAACAGAAGACAGTAGAGTTTAATCTTTTTTAGATAACATCTCTCTCTTAGTGATTTCATCTAAATTTTTTCTGATGTGATAGTTGAAAATGTAGTTGATGATGAGTTTATTTCCAGACTCCTAGGACCGTCAAACAGATTTTAGTAGCAAAATACTTGCTTTGAGCAGTTAATAAATTCAGTACAACATGTAAGCAGTCGCGTTTATTTTTCTGCATTCCTTTCCTCCTTTTCCTATGTCCGACATCATTTCTCAAAGATGTGCCGCCTTCAGCTCACCCTCAAGGGGCAGGCGCACCCCTCCGGGACATCTGGCCCACACTCGAGGTCCCTCTGAACAGAGAAAACATTTCAAAGGACAAAACCTTTCCAAGTGCACATTTGCCCATCTCTTCCCTGAGGTCATCCGGCACGCAGTCCCTGTCCCTTCAAACTGCACTCAGCAGTCAAGTTTGCTGACACACTGACGTGTTAAATCATAACAACTAGATGCTCGGCCAGGGTCTTCGGATGAGCAGGTGCACCCGGATGTCATCATAGAGCTTAATGCCAACAGGAGCAGATGGAGGACTGACGGGATTCTTCGAATCCCCCTGGAAGCTTACCCGGTGCATTCGAAAGCAGGGACTTAAATGGGAGCAACTCAAATGACCCTCAATTTCTACGAATCTCACCAAGGAAGACTTGTTGCTAAAAGTATAGAGCCAGCAGTGCCATAGGGTCTCCAATGGAAGAGTTTTTTCACCAAGCACTGGAAGTTATTTTGAATCGATCCTCCTATGGCCAAGCACCCCGACGTGGGAGAGGAGAAGGGACCGAGGGGAGGGCCCCTCCTGTGGCCGGGAGCAGTGTGGCTAAAGGCCGGATAAAGGGAGCTGCGACTTCTGACCCTGGGCTCCTCAGGGCTCAGCCCCAGCCTACCTGGCTCCTTTCCTTGTGGCCACGTGGCCTGGACCATTGGGGCTGCTGAGCAGCACCCTGAGGGGAGCTGGGGCCAGGCCTCCTCTTCCCTCCCAGAAGCTGAGATCAGTGAGCTCGATCTGGTGCTGTGAGGATGAGAAATAGGCGCCCCCCCCCCTCTATAATGGTTCCAACAACACGAAGTTGCAGGATTATGCTCACAATCGCCAGAGCCACGGCACAGTACACGTGGCTTTTTAACACCTTCCACCAAGTTGCCTTCCAGCCACGTGGTGTGGTGTGGGGCTCGAGGGTGCGTTTCACTGCACTTAAGACCAAGAGATTGTGGATTGTTCATGTCAAAGAAGGGAGGGGGGTTATCGGAGCTTCCTGAGGGGGGGTCTCATGAACCCCGATTGCCACTGAGGGCTGTTTTCTTGACCACCCCTGAAACATGCTTCCCGGACAGGCAACTGACATAAATTCTATGGTTGTGAGAGAGAGATTCAGGTGACTCACAGTATTTTTTTTTCCATTATGTTTCAGAGTTCTTGAGTTATATAACACTCTTCAGTAATATCATCTTTTCTAAAGTTTCTATCCAGAGGACACCTCCTGGATTGTATCAGATAAACCCAGTTTATTCATAAGTTGGGGAAATAATTTTGGAATTTATTTCATTGGCACATGTGTGTGTGAGAGAGAGAGAGGTGGCTCCGTGTTAAGGAAGGGGCGTGGGCACTGGAGGCAGAGAGACCTGGCTTTCAACTGCTTTGTCTGCAAAGTAATAACAGCTTGGACCATCGGCACAAACTGCTTAACCTCATGGGGCTTATTTCCCTAAACTGTAGGAAGGGAACCACACCTACCTTGATCATGTTGCCGAGACAACAAGCGTACACAGAGCTTCAAGCAATCCCACTCCCAGGTACTTAGTCCCAGAAAACGAAATCCTTGAAGAGATGCCTGTGCCCGCCATGCTCACCACGGCATTGTCCACAACAGCCAAGACGGACAAACAACTTAAGTGTCCCTAGATGGATGAGTGGATAAAAGAAATCCTGACGTTAGCGACCGCACATGTGGACCTGGAGGACATAGGCTAAGTGACAAAAGGTAGACACAGACACTTCTGTGTCTCCCAAAGTGGAAGACACATTGTGTTCCAAAGTGGCTGCACCGTGTTACATTCCCGTCAACAGAGTTGGAGATTTCCATTTGCTCTACCTCCTTGACAGCACTTGCTATTGTCCGTCATGACCATTTTAACCATTCAAATGGAGTTTCATAGTACCTCGTGATGGTTTTTAAATATTTCATACACATAAATTTTATTTTTAAGAATACTTTAAGATTTACAGGAAAATCTGGCAGCTAGTAGAGATATTTCTCATATACTCTGTACCCCATATGCAATTTACCTCATTATTAGCACCTTGCATTAGTGTGGTATATTTGTAATACTTAATGAGCCAATATGAATACGTTATCACTAGTTAAAGTCCTTAGTTTGCACTGAAGTTCACACTTTGTGTTGTGTAGTTTCTACAGATTTTGACAAATGCAGGATGTCACGTGCCACACGCAGGATGTTGATGGAGGTTGCGTTAAACCTCGAGGTCACATTGAGGAAAACTGACCTCTTAGCAACGGTGTGTTTTCCCATCCAAGGCTATGGAACACCGCTCTAGCTACTCTGATCTTGTCTGATTTTTCTCATCAGCATTTTATAGACTTCCTCGTGTAAATCTTATACATTAAAAAATTATACTTGAGCCCTGGCTGGTGTAGCTCAGTGGATTGAGCGCGGGCCTGCGAACCAGAGTATCGGGGTTCGATTCCCAGTCAGGGCACATGCCTAGGTTGCAGGCCAGTTCCCAGCAGGGGACACACGAGAGGCAACCATACATTGATATTTCTCTTCCTATCTCCTTCCCTTCCCTTCTAAAGATAACTAAATAAAATCTTTAAAAAAAATTATACTTGATTATTTTAGGCTTTTTGATGGGTGTTAATATAAATGATATTATGTTTATAGTTCAAATTTCAATTGCACAATGCTCATTATAGGAAAATGATTGACTTTTGCATATCGACCTTACGTCCTGCAATCTTGCTGTTACCACATATTGGTTCCAGGAGTGTTTTGGTCAGTTCTTTGGATCAATTTGGTTAAATTTTGAGGGTCAGCTCTTTTGAGATTGTTTACAGTCCTGTCGTCTGTGAACAAAGAAATGTCCATTTCTTCCTTCCTAATCTGTTGATTAATTATAAATGTGTATTGCAAACTCTAGGAAAACCGCTAAAAACTATTTTAAATCCACTTTCACCTAATGCCATACTCATTTACAGGTAGTACAGGTACCTGTACTGAGCATCCCTAGTTCCTCTCTCCCTCCTTATAACATCACCATTGGGTTTTTTCATGTGTTCATATGGCATAATCACCCAGCACATGGTTGCTGTTATTATTTCAAAC